GGAGCGGATAAGGCTGGGCATCCCTTCCCAGTAAGCAGGATCACAGTCTGTGTTTTAAACGAGACAAACCAGCCTTCCCAAGAAACACACTTAGATTCTTTGCCCTGTTTGCTGGTTCACATCCCTTTCTGCACAGGTGTCCACATGGGCTTTTAGGTGGCACGGCTCTTCGCCCATCCTGCCCTAACCGTCCTTCCTCAGAATTCAAGGGAAGACTCAGATGACTTGAGAAATGGGCAGCCTGGATGTAGCCCACAAGCTCCATCGAGTCATCTCTGTGCCTTCCATAAAGAGGGTGGCTCGCCCCCAGGCCTTTGCCCAAAGGGAGAACTCAGCCCTCCTGCCTCCCCCAAAGCCTCTCTCTCACGCTGCCTCCGTCAGGAGCTTTCTGGAGACTTCCATCAGGGTCCCAGGGCCTGGCCTCCTTAGGCGAGGGCTATACTTCCATTGTGCACAAACCTTCTCGCCCACCTCAGAAAGCTCCTCTCCGAGGAGTACAGTGAAGCCCAGAGAGGACAAACCTCCAAAGTCACCCAGCAAGTTCACGGAATCCTGGAGTGCCACCTGCCCCTCCTGTGATCCCACGGGGCCACATGTCATGTGAGAAGCCATTGGCGACCCCCAATCTCGGGGCTCCCCCACACAGTCAGTGAAGTGATGAAAAACTGGTCCAAGGGGCAGAGTGGCTGGATGGACCTGGTGACCAGCGAGGAGGATGAAGGGCAGAGTCGCCTGCTGAGGCCCAGGAGCCAGAACGAGGGGGGCCTATTGGTGTGGGGACTGGCCTCCTAGCCCAGGCCCTGCAGTTCTGCCTCGGATTTGGCATGGCTAAGTGGCCGAAGTGTCCGGGGAGGCCTGCCCTCGGGCCCACAGTCCTGGTCCTTGTAGCTGGGGTTCAGGCGGCCCATGTCGAGGGAGCAGAAGAGGCTGCGCTCAGTCCCCGCGTGGTGCTCCACCAGAGCCTCCAGGCTGGGGAACTCGGCCGGCAGGTGCTGGGGGAGGAAGGGGCTTCAGTTCCAGCCTCCTCTTCCCCAGGGCTGCTGCCCGGAATCAACCACTCCCTCACTTGGGACCCTGCCTCACTTCAGAGAGGAGGAAATTTGAGCTCAAGGGAGGTCACTGTCATGCTCACAGCAGAGCCAGACACCATTTCCTGTTTCTCTCCTCCCAGCCTGGACAGGACTGAGGCACTTTGCATGGAGGTAATGGCTCACACTTAAAAAGCGCCCCACCCCCCAGGCCCCTCCTCCACCCCGTCCTCCTCATCCCAGTCCCTGGAAACCTGTGATCAGCCAAGACTCCAGACCTGGAGACTCAGAAGCTGTATGAGCTTCCACAAACCCCTACCCTCTCTGAGTCAGCTTCCTCCTCTGCTAAGAGATGGTTAGGGTGCGGAAAAGCAAGAATTTTAAAAGCTGGAATTCCTATAGCCTCAGACTCTGCTAGACTTACCCTCCAGCAGCTGGAGAGGCCCTAAGGCGGAGCCCATAAGTAGAGGTGGGGTCAAGTGGGCGGGGCCAGCAGGGCCAATGACAAAGGAGCTGGCCAGAGTTAAATGAGGCCAGAGAGAGCCAATAGGGGACTGGGATGAGGGTGAGGCGGACTCAATGGTTAGAAAGGGGCGGTGCTTGAGGGCAAGGGGCGGGGCCATCTGCTGATACTCTTACCTCCACGCTGTAGCGGCCTAGAAGGTTCCGGAAGACTTGGTGGGGCACCACGCCACACTGTGTCCGCACCGACAGACACCACTGGCCACTGGCGCCCGGCTCAGGCCACAACAGGAAGGCCCCAAGCACGTCTCTCCGCAGCAGGGCAAGGGCACTGGGCCTGGGAGGGCAGGAGGAGAGGCTGACAGTGGGACGCCAGTCTGGACCCAGCTTGGCGTAACAGCCATGGCATAACAGCCCCATAGGATAGGAACACAGTGCCTGTCCAGTGGAGGCCCTTGACGACAGCAAGCTTTTAGACTTCCTTTCTGAAAGGTTTCTAGGGGACCCTTAATTGACAACTTCAAGACCCAGTCAGGAGAGTTTTAAAGAGCTGACATTTAGGGAGCGGTGGCTGCGTGGGTGCTGAGGTCTTGACTCCTTTGAATGACCTCACTTGATCCTCTCCACAGCCCTGGGATGAAGGTCCTTTTTCTAGCCTCACTTTACATTTGAGAGAACTAAGGCTCAGGGTGCTGAAGTCCTGGCCTCAGGTACAGGAATGTGCTCGAACCTGGGAGTGGGGAGCCCAGCCCATTTCTCTGCCCATCCCAAGGGGTTGGGCACCTGGGCAGGTCCCTCCTACCTGGAGAGGCCAGCAAAGGCCCAGATGTTCTCTGTCAGGCTGCCCTCACTCTCCACCAGGCAGGAAGGGCCACCGGGACCCCAAGGCCACGCCTCCCACGCCGCAGGAACTATGAAGACCAGCCAGGGGTCAGAGGGAGAAAGGCTGTCCGATCCCTTCCTGCACCCTGCCCACCCCACCCCTACAGGCCCCATGAACCCACATTTGTCTCCCCACCATGCCTCTCCCTCCCGGCCCAACAGGCACACCCCCACTCACCACCACTCACCAGATAAAGCACATCCACAGCTACGCACGCACCTATGCAACCCCCAGGCACGCAGATGTGGATGCACACTCACCCATGTGGACATGGTGCATATTCATTCACAGCACAGGCATCTGCTCTGAGGCACAGTCACAGACTTGCAGAAACAGACACTCAGGCCCACCCTCTTGGACTCACACTGGTGTACACAGACCTGTGCCCCAGATAGGCTGGGAGCACGGTGCTCCTGCTACTCACAAGCCTCCCGGGCTGACAGCTGCAGCTGGGTCTCGTAGGTGCAGCCCCGGTAGGCCCCGGAGCGGATCACCTTGCTGCGGATAGCCTTCTTGCGTACCAGTGTGGGTGAGCAGTAGGGATTCCCCAGGCGGGCATGGCGGATGAACCCACGGCCTTCCAAGTCTGGCAGCTCCTTCTAGGACACCAAGAGGGGCCCAGAGGAGCAGACAGATCAGGCCCAGCCATGTCAGGTCAGATGAAGCCCCCTCCCTCTGAAACCTAGCACCCCCCCCTCCACATGACCCCCAAACCCTCACCCAGCTCCCTTGTCCACTGCCCACCCCCTGGCTGGGGTGCTGCATACCCCACTGCCCATGGGCCCCTCTGCAGGCAGCCGCCGAAAGGAGACCAGTGCATGAACGTTCTGTGAAAGCTGATCCCGGCCGAAGGGCTCCCGTACTAGGCCAGGGGGTGGCCCAGGGCTGGACAGTGGCTTCAGGGGCGCGTCCCCTGCAGGCCCCAGGCAGGGCTCCGGCTGTGCCCGCTCCTCAGGGTGATGTAAGAGGTAAATGAGCTGGAAGGAGCGGCAAAGGAGCAGGTGCAGGATCTGGACCTGGCGGGTGCGGAGAGGGATGGGGGCTCAGGTGGGGGCGGTCTCCTGGAGAACTCCTTAGGCATCAGCCCGCTCACCATGGGGGAATGCCGCCCCTGGGCTTGGAATACTCTTCCCCATTCTTCCTGGAAAAACTCCTAGTTATCCCTCAAAACCTCACCACCATGCAGCCTCCCCCACCAGCTTCCTGTATTCATTTAACAACTACTGAGCATCTGCTTTGTTCCAGGCATCATGCCTGGAGCTGGGAATGCCTGGGCTAAATGCAACCCTCCCCCCTGGGTTTACCATCCTCACCCCATGCACGGCGTCGGTACCCGCGTAGAGGAGTGGCTAAGAACCCAAGCCCTGGAGTCACAGAACCTGAATCCAGTCCTGGTTCTGTCACTTAGGAGCTGCTGCGTGACCCTGGGCAGAGCATGGCACCCCTGTCCTCAGATTCATCATCCCCACCTCCCTGTGCTCCTTTAATGAAATGGAGCACAGAGACTCCCCAGCATAAGCCCAGCACTCTGGGGCCAGCACATTCTACCAACCACACCCACCATCCAGCCCTAACACACTGGAACCGTGAGCTCCATCCAAAAGATCAATGGCCGTGTCTCAGCCACCTGTCACCCCAGTAGCCAGCACAGGGCTTGCCTTACAGGGGTGATGGAAATGCTTGCTGGGTGGAACCAAACCCAGCCTCTGTTTGCTAAATGATTGGCTGCCAAAGCTTTGTTGTTCATGGCAGTCGCATTGGCTTTGACTTCTGGGAGCTACTCGCCCACCCACGTGCCCCATAGGACCAAGCACTGGAACCTGGGCCCAGTCTCTGCTCTCAAAGTCCTGCAGTGTCTGTAATTAGGGACAGCAGATGACAGAGTGCGGTCATGTTGCAGGACTCCGGGGGGGGGGGGCGGTCTAGAGGAGTCAAGGTGGGCTTCACAGACACATGGGCTGAGCCTTGAAGGGCAAGTTGGAATTTGTCAGGATGAGAAGAAAAGGGCATTCCAGGCAAAGAGAACAGCAGGAGCAAAGGCCTGGCAGGGTGATCCTCCAATCTCCAAGCACATGGTCCCCACAGCATGCTGAGGCCGCTGACCTGCTTTTGTGGAACCCTCAGTGGGCAGAGCCACAGAAGGAGCCAGCGTGGCAATGGGTGCTCGTCTGGAGGGGGCTCAAGCCAGCGTGGCTAAGCCCTCCAAGGCCTCAGTCCCTGGAACCCACGCTGATGCACAGCACGCCCCCACCCCCAGCCTGGGCCCCAGATACCTCTCCAGGCTGGCTGCCCACAAAGAGGTGACAGAAGAGCTTGCTGGCCGGGCTCCGGGGGTTTCGGGCCACGAAGGCAAACTGGCAGGCAGCTGGGCACCAGGTGGAGTAGAGTATTCGCCTCAGGGCGTGCGCCATCAGGAGCACCTGGGGAGGCAGCTGGCGTGACTGCGTCCATCAGACCCACCACCTGGCCCGCAGCTGCCAGCCCAGTGTGCACCAGCCCTGCGGGCCCCACACACCTGTCGGCAAGACTCCCGGGCCTGCTCTCCCGCTGCCCCGTGTGCTCAGCTTAGGACCCACCCAGCTCCTGGGGTAAAGAACTCTCCCCCCCTTCCGGGCCTGCCCAGACCCTGCTTCAAACCGAAACCCGTATCCCTCCCATGAGCACGGGGCTTTCTCTCTTGCTCGTTGGAATCGCCACACCCATGTTATGGGACCGAAGGGCAGAGCATTCACGGCCTGCAGGTCACACAGAGGCAGCAGCGGCAGGTCCTGGGGGTTGCACGCTTGGTCTCTGGGGTCAGATGACCGGGGTTTGAATCCTGGCAGTTAGCGTTCAACAAATGTTGGCTTGCACCAGCAGCGGGAGGATGGGCGACAAAACAGGGGCTCCCGACTGGCCTCCAGCCTGAGTCTGGCCCCCCTTCCACAGCCATGAGAGGCGGGCCCCAGCCTACTGGCCAATGCTGGGCAGGCCTATGAAGAAGCCTGGGGACTTGTAAAGACCTCATGGGGCTAGATGGCCCTGACGCTCAGGCCAGGAGGTGGCCCCTGGAGATTTTGGAGGGCTGGGGACAGGAGGTGAGATAGAGGATAAACGTTGCCCAACAAGCTTGCTCTGGGGGAGGCCCCTTAGGGAGAGGACTCCAAAGGCCCTGAGCAGGCGTGTAAGCCGGGAGGCTCAAGGGACAGTGCAGGGCCTGGGTGGAGGTGAGTACATCCTGAGGGAGTGGGACACCTGTCCTGTCCAGTCCTCACCTGCACCCACATGGGCTCCTACCTCGCCCTCCCCGCTGTACATCTTGAGACCCTGAAGGCTGAATTTCAGGATGACGGCTTGGCGTCGGGGACATTCCTGCGTGGGAGAGAGTTGGGGGGGGGGGCATTACCTCCCTGGGCCGGCCCTGCCCTGCCCAGCCTTAGTACCAGTCACCGCAGGCTGGTCAGCCAACTCCACCCCACCCGCCAGAGGACTGAGTCCTGGACAGTGGGCCCCCCAGGAGCCAGGTGAATGGTTCCTGGCAGACCAACCCCCAGCCAGGGCGATAGCTGGCCGTGTTCTGACCATCGTCCACTTGTCCCACTTATGGCTCCCACCCGTGGGGCACAAATCACAGCTGCCCAAGGGAAGAGAGTCCCTGGGCGTAAGAAACGCGGCTCCACGAGCCTGGGTGTGGTCCTGGGGCCCCCCTTTCCGAATGGCTTTATCCTGCCCCGCCCTGGGCTTCACTTGCTCCATCTCTCTGATTTGGGGGTGGGGCGGATCAGATAGTTTCAGGGGCCATTCCCAGCCTGCCATCCCAAGGCTGTGATGCCACCAGGGAAGCTCCCCTACCTTCAGTGTCCACAGCTGTTGCTGCACCAGCCACACACTCTCCTGAGTGTCCAGGTTGTCCACGGAGAAGGAGCCCACGTACTGCTTGGGGATGGGGAGTGGGTGGGACGGAGGCAGGGCATCAGGCCCATGGCTTCTGACCTCTATCCACCAAATACGCCCCTGGCTCCAAACACACACTCTGCTATGCTATGCCAAGTAAGCTGTAGACAGCGACAGAGCACTGTACTCGGAGTCCAGGCTCTGCTACTTTCCCAGCAGGTGGCCTTGGGCAAGCCACTCAGCCCCCTGAGGCCCCATCTCCTCATCTGTGCCTGCACACACATTCCAGAGCCTGGGTCCGGGAGGCAAGACACAGAAATAGGTCCTCCCCACAGCTCCTCCCCACCCCCCAGGACCTGCCACCCAGTCACCACCTACCAGAGCACACCCCATGGGGGCGGCCCCACCCACCTGGGCAAACTTGGTGATGCACCTGGGTCGGTGAGGGGCAGGGCCGCAGTCGGAGGCCCTCCGGCGCCCCGCCCCAGCTTTCTGCATGGCCCCCAGGATGCCCGGGTTCAAGCCCCAGGGGAGAGAAGGCTGCAAAGGGCAGGGGACAAGGTTGGTTCCTAGGCAATCAAGGCACAGCGTTCCCCATCAGAGGACAGTGAGCTCCTTTGTCTGACAATCCTTACTGAGCACGTGCAGTGTCCTGGGGGCAGAAGACACAGAGCCCTGAACAAAATGACAAACTCCCTCCTGCCCTCATGGAGCGAACATTCTCCTGAGGGCGAAAGATATGAAGTAAGAGATGGAACGTGCTAGACGGTGATAAAGCAGAGAGGAGGCTGTGACATGCAGGCTGGGGGGTGACCACAGCCGGGAAGGCCTTGCTGAGGACTGTGGTTTGAGGACATGCTAAAGGAAGCTGTGTGGCAGTCCACACCCTGGGTCAAACACTGACACCTCTGGAAGGACAGGGTAAGGACGTAGCCAGCGGCTACAAAGAGCCAGGGGAGATGGGGTGTGACAGCAGTGAGACCAGTCTGTAAAAGCAGCTGGGGCCCTTCGGTAGACCTTTCCAGAGCAGCAGGCTGGAGCCAGGTTGGAATCCGCCTGAAATGTCACACTCAGGCATTCAGGCTCGGCCCTGTGGGCAGTGAGGAGACCTAGCAGCTTCTAGGGTAGAAGCTCTGTAGTCTAAGGGGGTGGCCCTTGAGCTGGATGGCTAGAGCCGCTTCACAGCCTCTGCCTGAAGCCTCCAGCCCCAACCGGAGAGCGCACTGATGCTGAGTCAGGAGGTAAGGAAAGTGGACATCGCCCCAGGGGCCTGAAGAGCCCTGGACCCCCAGCCCAGGTTCTCGTCTTCCCTGGGGTCTGTCCCTCCCAGATCTAGTGGAGGAAAGGAGAAGCCCCCCACCTCCCCCCACCCCGCCTTACTAGACTGTTTTCAAGGGCAGAGAGAACATATACTCCCCTTTAGCGCTCAGGACCACAGCTGGTGCTCAATGAACACGGAATAAAGGTATTGTGACAAAGAATGGCTGACTGCCTCTGCCTGGGTCCCCGAGGATTTGGCCCCCTGTCTTTCCTGGGGCCCACTTAAACCCCCACCTCCATCCCACGTCCTGGCTGGCTCTGTCTCACCAGCCTACTTGTTATCACTGCACTTTTGATCAGACCTGGATCAAAATCCTGTGTGACTTTGCGCAAGCCACCTCCCCTCTCCGAGCCTCTGTTTCCTCATCCCCAAACCTAGAATAATGTGAGGAGTCCATGATCATTGAATAGAGGAGCAGGCACCCAGCGTGATGCCGGACAGGCTCCACCAGGCTCAGGGCTGAACAAGTGCTCAACGGATTCGGTCTCACAGAGGGGTGGGGGACCGCAGAGACTGCTGTTCAGGAGGGAGCTTGGGAGACAGTGACCTCTGACCACTTTCAGTGCCCTCCTTGCACCGGGCCACACCCGTCCGGGAGGATGTGGCAGGAGGGGAGGCCTGCCTGAGGGCCGTGATTCCTGCCAGGAGAAAGCAGGGACCAGACAGGGCACTGGGCAGGCAATGGGTGCGTCCTGGGTGTGCTCTACCCACCTGCAGGGGTCCTTAGAGAAGGAGGTTTTTGGGTGCTTTGGAACTGACCCACTCAGTGCCAGGAGCCCAGGAACAGCCCTACCTCTGCCTGCCCATGGCCTTCAGCCCCAGGCTCAGGCCAGGCTGGAGGTACCAGCAGTGATCTACTATGATCTACTAACTCCCGGATCTAACTTTCGGCGAGCAGCCAGCCCAGGGAGAGCCAGGAAATAAAGGCTGCGCTGTCCCCGTGAGGCTGTCCTGCTTCCTGTCTCCTGTAGCTTTGCCTCTTCGGGTTTTCTGGGCCCTCACATCCTCACGCATTTTGATCCTGATTGTTCTTCACATCACGTCCATTACCTCTTGTTCATTTTATGTTTAAATAAAGCGAAGTGAGACATGTAACCGGCACAAAAGCTATGTGCCCCCTACCTCCCCATTCCAGGTATGGAGATGGGGGCTTCCGATGAACTCACCTTTCAGCTTCATAATCACATCATGGTCTGGGATGCCCTGTGCCCCCAGGCGGTGGGGAACAGAGGCGGCAAAGACCAAAAACCAAGTGGGCGAAAAGGAGACGGAGACAGAACAGAGGATGAAAAGGTAGCCACAGGAGCGGGAACAGTGAAGGATAAGAAAGACAAAAGAAGAGATAAAGGAGAGATGGGAGGAGAGAGAGATAAGGAGCACATTTCTCATCCTGCCTGTGCTGACACAGCCCCTCAGACACTGAGTGTATGGAAGACGGAAAGGAGCCACATGGGTGATGACACACGCACACATTTGTTCTCACACACACCGAGACAGCTGTGTCTAGGGCTGTGAACAGCCTCTGCCCTTCAGATCCAGAGCTGTTGCTTTCTTGAGGACATCCCATGTTCAGGCAGTGGGGGAGGGGTGGGGAGGCCACTGGCCCGCTTACGAGTCCCACCCAACTCACTATCACGTGATCCTTCCCCTACCCCCTGGAAACTGGAAGTTTCTCCCTTCTTCTTCTTCCCTCCCCAAATGAAGCACAGTGCATTTCAGCCCCAGGCCTGGAATTGAGGGTTACACAGGGGACCAGGGAGGGGACCAGACACACCCGGATCCTGGAAACAGAACTGCATACTTCTTCCAGGCACACACACCCACTTATTTCTTTGGATTAGACCTGTTTATCCGAGGTTTTACACAGGAGCCTGCCTGGACCAGCACCTCCTTAAGGGGACACATTTGGAATGAGGACAGGCTCTTCTCTTGCTCCTCTGAGGTTTTCCTGGTGGCCCTGCTTAGAGACAGGGGACTGGATGGGTTGACTTGCCAGGAGGGGTCAAGGGCAGAGGCCCTCTGCAGCACTGCCTCATAGCTGAGTAAAGTCATAGGGAAGGCCCACCTTTCCGGCATCCCAGGGGACCACTCAGTCTGCAGACTCTGGGCTTAGCAAAGGGGTCACTCAGGGAAGTGAAGGCACTTGACCAAGGTCACACAGCATAAGGGGGCAACCTGGGAAGCAAACCCAGGTCTCTGGGGCTCTTCCTAGAGGCCATGGCAGCGCCCCTCCGCTCAGACTCCCCTCCCCCATATAAACAGGGTGTCCACCTTTAGTTTAGCGAGTCTCCAGCCTGTCCAGCTGCCCAGAACACCTAAGGTGCTGCGGGCTGATCTGATCAGCGAAACAGCAGCTTTCTCTCTCTGACTGCCTCCCAGCCAGATGGTCTGGGGCTGCAGGAGCCACCTGGGTCCCCGCTTCACCCCCACTGCCTTTGGCTCAGGCACATAGAACAGCTTCCTGCCCCAACACACCCTTTGGTATCAGGGCCACCTTCCCTAGGCTAGCGGGTGGGAAGAGACTGAACCATGTCACCAAGGTCCAGGGGTCATGATTGTGGATTGTGGGTCCCTTAAATTTGGCCGATGTGACTGTCCTTGGGCAAGTCATTTAACCTCTCAGCCTCCATTTCCTCAATTGCAAATTGAGGATAATAATAGCAGCTACCTCCTGGGGTGTATTTGTTTGTTTCTTCTGAGAATATTTCTGAGTAGGGCTATGTGCCCGGAGAGCAAAAACAAAGTCCCGGCCTTCGCAGAGCACCCAAGCCGGGTTGACGGACGGTGCCAGAAACCAACAACATTTCGAGGGCGAGGGGTAAATAATTTAGAAATACAGTAGGGTGAGGAGGTTATGAGTGGTGTGTGTGGCGGGGAGGTGCCATCTAACACAGGGTGGTCGAGGACGGCCTCTCCAAACAGACCGCAGAGTGGAACGTGCTGTTTTTAGGATTAAGTGGTGCCAAAGCCACGTACGGGGCCAGCGCCGCCGCGGTGCAGACGCTCCACGGCGTGGGTTATTATTCCTGCGCTTATTGTGCTTCCTGGGGAACGCTGCCAGGGCCAGCTGACAGCCCCCGCCCGGGGCAAAGAAACTCCCCGGACGCACCGAAGGGCGAGCGAAGCAGGTCGCTGGAGGAGGGACGGCGGAGGTGAAGCCGGAGGTGCTGGCTGGTGCCGGTGATGGAGGGAGAGGGCAGAGGTGCGCCTTCGCCATCCCTAACCCTCCCCTCATCTCTGCGCCTGGGGACCGAGCCCGCTCCCGCCGACCCCCGCCTCTGCCGGGCTTCCCGGGCCCCCAGGGCTCACTCACCGCGGCCGCCGCGTCTCGAATCCAGTCACTGCAGCTCCGCGCGTCTCCGCCGCCCGCCCTGGCGTCCCCCACCGCCCCCCACGTGGCCGCGGGAACCAGCCTCCAGGATCACCTGGCGGCGGCGCCCGACCCCAGCCCACCAATCAGTGCCGGCGAATCGGCTCCGCTCGGCCACGCCGCCTAATCAGCGGCCGCGAGGGGCCCTGGCACCGCCCCCTCCAGCTCGCGCCCCGACGCTCCGCCTTAAAGGGGGGGCGGGGGCGGAGGCGTCCCTGCTTCTTCCAGGGCAGGGGGTTTTGAGTGCCCGGGCTCTCGCTGACAGCTTCCTCTTCCCGGTGAATCCTGCCCCTCCCGCCCCTGGCTAGCTCCTCCTGGGCATCCAAGCACATCCAGCAGTCCTCCGAGAAGCCTTCCCTGACCACCAGTGACTCCTCCACCCCCAGCGGAGCCCTCGCGACTCTTACTGGTCATCCCACCGCTCTCACTAGAGTGCAAGCGGAGGGGCCTCCCTCCCCGGGGCGCAGGACAGAGCCTGGCTTGTAGGAGGCATGCAGTGACTGTTATCTTGACGAGTGAATGAATGAACGCGCTCAGGACCCGGTCTTGGGGGGAGCTGGGCGAGTCTCACCCTTCCTTCCCTCAACGGGGGGGTCCGGGAGAGGGTGGGAAGGGGTCGCGCATCTTCCTCCGGGCCTTTCTCGGAGGAGACTTAACGGAACCTGCTCAGCTCAGGGTCCGCACTAAGAAGTCTCCTCATGAACACTGATCATTGCACACGAGCCGTGACCCGTCCTTCGCGTTGCACGTAGGTGGCAGAAAACCGCTAAGCAAATGCAGCCAGAAGTGTCAGTCACAGCTTTGAGCTGGAGAGCGCTTTTGTTCCCAACAGGCCAGGCATCCCGTAGGTGCCAACAGAACAAAAAGCAAACCCGGTTCAGCCCAGCCTTTGGTGTGTATTTAACCTGAAATCTGCAGAGGAAACTCCAGGGACCGCCCATGCCCCAGACCTCAGAAAGGCCAGGACACAAGGCTCAGGTCCAGTGGGGGAGCAAAGGCTGCACCCTAGGAGGGGGGCACCCTGACAGAGGGCGGCACAGCAGAGAGAAACTTTGCCAGCGTCTGAGGACCTCAGCGGAGTTCCAAGAGGCAAGTTTGAGCCACGCCTGCGTACTGGGGCATTCCCTCTGTCTCCCTAGAGCAGCTGGATGTCTTCCAGAGGCAACAGTAAGGTGTTTAGAGGCTTGGCCTGGAATCTGGGCACTTCGCCTCGCTAAATGTGGTACCTTGGGCCAACACCTTCCTTAATCCCCAGTGCCTCATCTGTGAGCGTTACTAACACCTGACTCACAGGGACTGAGGCTCCAATGAGTCAACGTGGGCGGGATAAGTGCTTGGCACAGTACTTAACCCATAGTGAGTGAAGCACTCAGTAAATGTGAGACTTTGCGTTTATTCTTGCGTTTCTGTTATATGAGATTGAATGGCGAGTGTTTATTGAGCTCTGCATACCAGGTTCTGGGAAGCCCTTCACCAAGGAGGCCATTTGACAGCCTTGAGTCCAGTAATGAGAAGCATCAAGATGGTTTACAAGCGGGCCCTGCTTTCTGAAAAATCCCAACTTGTGAAACTCAGGGTACAAAAAGGACAAAAGGTTAATTTTTACTAGCTTTCTAAAAGAGCATGTGAAGTTACCACAGACAGCCTGCCACTTACTAAGTCCACAGTCCCATTTTGAGACTATTCAGAGAAAACAACGCAAGCCACAACTGATGCAGACAATTTAAAAAACAGTGATAGGAATTTGAAAAAAGACCGAGGAATTAAATTTAGATAGTGAAATAGTTAAAGCCAGAGGGATACCTCTGCCTCCTAAGTCTTTCTCAGGAGAGGACAGAGGGTCAAGATCTGAGTGGCAGTACTGTGCTAGGTTTTGGGGATACAGAGATTTGCACCAAAACACACAAAACACTACAAAAACCAGATCTGGAAAGATAAATGTGTGAAAGACATATGTGACACTGACTCTTGACTTTCCAACCCCCAAGGGTCCCTTTTGTATCGGTCTTTACCCCCACTCAGGAATACAATGGCAAAACCAAATACATTTATATATTTGAAGTTCATTCCTTCATTTCTGTATCCAAGTAATGTAACTGTCCATGTGAGCTATTCCCCCAGGTTACCAAATTCAATTTATCTAATTCCACTAAAAGCACAGAACTCCAAGCTTCTACAGTACATGTACCTTACTAATGGCACATTAGATGTACAAGCTCAGAGGTTTGCATCACAGGAAACAAACCACAGTGGGTATCAGCCACCTCCTGGGCAAGTCAACCTCATTCCACTCAGGACCGCAGCCTAAAACAGCCATCGCTGCACCATTATCTGCCACATTTATTTAATCCTACATTCATGACAAGACAGCTCTCAGGAGTCATCAGGTATAGCACTTCAACCATTAGATTAATGAGTCAGTTTTGCAGGAAGCCCAAAGAAGTCACCTGTATTATTAAGCAGGAGAAGGAATGTCAAAAGGCAAGCAAGGGTGGCGGGGTAATGATCTGTGAACATGTTAGGGCACATGGCCATGTCATGGTATTTCCGGATGAGTCAGTGACAATCACTAAATCACAAAGGTGTGAGCTTGCTGTCATGATCTTCCCTTTTCCCTGTAATCCCAGAATCTGGTACCGGAGTTGCCAGCTGACAAATGTGAGTGGGATGTAACATCACATCATTTCGAAGCCACTCTCCAACAATAGGACTGAAAACTGTTGCCAAGAGGGAGAGCTTGGAACAGTCCTTCAGCAAAGCATCTCAGCCCACCTGGTTTTTACAGCACACGCTGCCATCTGTTTCCTTAGCAACACCTTCCCATGTCGACAGTTACTTTCCACTGTGAGCACCGTTCCGTTCTCTCAGGTTTGGCCTAATGGCTGTCCCTGCAACTTATCCCCAGTATAGCACCCCAAAAATAAGTGACCTAGAATGGAAATTAAAAAAAAAAAATTTCTAAGACGGGTTATGGGTTGAACTGTGCCTCCCGCTTCCCAAATTAGTATGTTGAAGTCCTGACCACTAGAGTGAGTACCTCAGGATGTGATGTATTTGGAGACAGGGTCTGTAAAGAGGTAATTCAATTAAAATGAGGTCAATAGAGTGGGCCTTATTCCGGTATGACCAGTGTCCTTATAAGAGGAAATTTGGACACAGACACACGGAGGGAAGATGATGTGAAGACACAGGGAGAAGATGGCCATCCACAAGCCAAGGAGAGAGGGCTGGAACATGCTTCCTCACAGCCCTCAGAAGGAACTAACCCTGCTGACACCCTGGATCTTGGACTTTTAGGCTCCAGAACTGTGAGAAAATATTGCTGTTGTTTAAGCCACCTGGTCTGTGGTGCTTTGCTGTGACAGCCCAAGCCAACTAATACAGTAATTACAGTAAGATTCCTTTTCATCCATTCAAAAAGCAGACCATAGGGGGCCGGCCGAGTGGCGTGTTGGTTAAGAGTGTGAACTCTGAGCAACTAGGTTGCCGGTTCTATTCCCACATGGGCCAGTGAACTGCTCCCAAGCTGAGCTGCCAACAGGATGGCTCAGCTGGTGAGAGCATGTGCCCCTAACAAGGTTGCCGGTTTGACTCCCATATGGGATGGTGGGCTATGCCCACCCACAACTAAGACTGAACATGGCACCTTGAGCTGAACTGCCGTAAGCTGCCAATGGGCGGTCAGATGGCGGCTGGACTTGGGAGCTGAGCTAGCTGTGCCCTCCACAACTAAGAATGAAGGACAACAACTTGGCTGTTCCCCTTCCCCAATTTCCCAATAAATAAATTAAAAAAAAAAGCAGACCATAACACTGTACGGCCAGATTCTGTTTCCTGCTATATTCTGGTTGGCAGTAAGCGTGGAGGGTACAGTATCCGAGCAATGTTATCTAATCTAGTTCAAGTCTCTCACCTTTCCAATTGAGAAGCAGCAGGTTAAGTGACTTGCCTGAGGTTTCCGGATAGTTCCACAGGGGACACAGACTAGGAGCCTCAACTCGCAGAGGGTCATGGGTAGAGCAGTGCTTCTCGTTTTCCAGGAGTGAATGTGCACTCCCTGGGGATCGCCTGCTGCTGCTTTATTTCTAGGAAATCTTGTTTTATCTTATTAACTATTGGGGACTTTGTACTCCATTTGTTTCAATATTGCCATTGACATAATGGCATTTCCTCCCCCAAATACTTTGGAATAGAACAGGTGCCCCAGAAATAGGCATTATGTTTATCTTGTTGCTACCTGTACCCCATTTGAAGAAACAGGGGGACAAGAAATGGTTCTCAGTACTTTCCCAACTTAAAAGTACAGGTCTAAAGAAGACCCCTCCTCAGAAACACTTGCTAGAGGCTGTTGCCAGGGACAAAGAATAGTCTAGGGCAGCGGTTCTCAACCTTTCACAGGGGTTGCCTAAGACCATCGGAAAACACATATTTTCGATGGTCTTAGGAACCGAGACACTGCTCCTCTATCTGTCTCCAGTCTCACATGCAGATACGCCCACATACGAGTACCTGGCAACCCCTGTGAAAGGGTCGTTCGACCCCCAAAGGGGTCACGACCCACAAGTTGAGAACCGCTGGTCTAGGGCTACACTTCAGAAGGCAGGTAATATCGAATACTATTTAAAATAATGCCTGTGTTGAAAATCATAAACTAATGACAGTATTGAATACAGATTTTTAAAAAAGATTGCACATTGAGTAGCCGTTTTCTCTGCAGCCCCCGTCTTCATCTATAACCAGCTAAGGCTCCAGGTCTGGCCCAGGAGGCGGCTGGCGGCTGCCTCGCTCGGCCTCCGGTGGCCCCAGCTTGGAAGGCACTCACATCTCTTGCTCACCTGGCTTCTCTTCTCTCTTGCTACCTGGCATCTGAAACTCCTGAAAAAAGCTGGGTTTCTTTTTTCTTGCTTATCTTTTAACGAGTGGATTCTCAGTTTAAAAACCTGACTAAAATCTGCTAAAAAAGGGGCAAAACCCAAATCTGTTAACCACAGCCCGTTAATCTTACAGTGGGTCCCTCTTGTAGCCTGTTGCCAGACGTTTTGCTACCTGAGCTTTCAGTGCAAAAAC